GTGGTCTGGCCATCGCTCGAACGTCCATTCCCTGTGCATTGTTCGATGTCATGCGCGTATGCCTCGCGAAGTGACCCAAGATGCTCCTCGATGGTCCTTACCGATAAACAATGCACACGTCCGAGCGATACCCAGTGGTGGGGCGCTGGAGTTTGACAGATGTGTGATGTCCACACGCACTGGCTTCCCTGGTTCGGTGGCGATCGAGGGGGGGAAGTGAGAAGGACAAGGCCTTCCTGGAAAGCCGTGGGCCTTCTCAGAAGCTCTCCGGCCTTCTTGCATGGCTTTCGTGTCTTCGGGAAAGGCTGAAACAACCTCTGAGAAGGCGGGGGGGCCTTCCGAGCGTTCTGAGAGGGCCCGCCCCTTCTCGCTTCTCCCCCCTGCTCGCCGCCGACTGGTGCCCTCTGCGTGCGTCGCACACCTGGCGCACGCGGCTCGCCTGGCGCGGCTGGAGCACGTGTTGAGCAGGGACCGACCAGCCCGACATTCCTACAGGCCTACCACGGCATGTTCTCAGAACCCAAAGATGTTCGAAACACAAGAACCATGTTCCCAGAACATAAGCCCGACGTGCTAAAAGAAGCCAGTCCCAGCCAGAAGTTGGGCGCCCGAGTTATCCGGGGTAACTCGGGCCCGGGGTAACTCGGGTTTGGATTCCCGAAAAACGAACCCGAGTTAGCCCTGACCCGAATTATCCCTGATGATTTGGGGCTCTGGACGCCCGAGTTATCCGGGGTAACTCGGGCCCGGGGCAACTCGGGCTTGGATTCCCGAAAACGAACCCGAGTTAGCCCTGACCCGAGTTACCCCTGATGATTCGGGTCTCTGAAGAAGTGTTCGAGGAACATCTCGTGGAAACCACAGCAAGGTTCTTAGAACACTGCTCGGTGGGCCTACGGGCACGCCAGGAGGCTCCGCCCCTGCCCGACTGTGGCACACCTGCAGCACGTCGAGCGCGTGCCGCACGCTCGCCACCGCTCGGACGTCCACTCCCCGTGTTTTATTTCTCGGCTTCGTGCGTGGGCTTTTTCGCCACATGATCAGGGATGATCCTCGATGGTCCTATTTTTTGACTATTGCTGGGGTATCTTTAATTTTTCCTCGAAGATCCCCCTCTGGCCATCGCTCGGACGTCCATTCCCCGTGCTTTTTCTCGGCTTCGTGCGTGGTCTTTGTCGCCAAGCGATCAAGGATGCTCCTCGATGGCCCTATGTTTTGAATATTTTTGGGGTATTTGTTATTTTTCGTCGAAAATCCCCCTCTGGCCATCGCTCGGACGTCCACTCCCTGTGTTGTTTTTCTCGGCTTCGTGCGTGGTTTTTTCTCGCCACATGATCAGGGATGCTCCTCGATGGTCCTCGCCGAAGGAGAAATGTTGGATGCTCATTCTGGGGAACTTCCTGGAGCCACTGGCTCCACTCGTGCGTCGAACCTGAGTAGAACCTGAGTGGAAGCTGAGTCGAACCTGGGTCGAATCTGAGTCGAATCTGTGTCGAACCTGAGTCGAACTTGAGTCGAACCTGAGTCGAACAGATCCGTTACGGCAGGTTCGTGTCGTGCCGACCCCAGCGTTGGTTTTTGACACCGCAGGGATCGTTCAACCTTGAACGATCGGCCGCTGCCGCAACGTCCGATCGTTCAACATCGATCGATTCTGGGTCGCCGGCGGCGTTCAACCTTGAACGCCCGCGCTGGGGTCGCCGCGGGTCGACACGACGCAGACCTACCGTAGGTGGGCCCCAGGAAGGTCCCCAAAACGAGCATCGAAAAAACGCACACCTCCGAGCGACGCCAAAGGCACGTGGCACGCCCCGGCGCGCCCGGGACCGCTCGGGCCTCGGGCGCGCCTGGCGCGCGCGACTCCGCCCCGCGAGCGTGGGGCACCCCCGTGGTCGCGTCGGCGCCCACCGGCTTGGCCCGCCAGATGGCGGCGCGGCACTCGAGATGGCCCCGGACAGGCGGCGGTCGACCACGGGTGGTGCGCGGGATGGCGTGGCGACCTTAGTGGGCACTGGAAACGACGGGGCCGTTTTTTTACGATTCCGTTCTGCCGTTTTTGTTGCCGGTTCCGACGCCGTTGTTTTACGGGTTCCGTCGCCGTGTTTTGACCGGTTCCGGCCCCGGTTCCAATCCTGGAGCCGTTTTTGTTGTCGTTTCCGGTCGCCTTTTTTTGCCGTTTCCATTTTCAAGGGACATTTTGTTGAAAACGGTGTAAAAACGGCCCTGCCGTTTCCGGGGCCCACAAAGGACGTGGCGACCTTACGCGGTGGCTTATGAGGGCTGGCGGCGCGGCAGCCCACGACGGAGACGAGGGCGCGGACGCGCGACCCCACGCGAGCAACGTGCGCGCCAACGTCGGCGCAGACGCTCCCGCTTTTTTTCCCCATCTCCAAGGGATGGGGTTCTTGTTAACTACTCTGGCCGCGCCGACTCTGTCAGGTCACCTCCTCCCCTCTTCCTTCTCTCCCCCATCCCACTCAGAGTATGATGATGATGGTTACGATGGTGATGGTGCTGTTATTGGTGATGATCATAACGGTGATGCTGATGATGATGAGTATGATGATGATGATGATGATGACGGAAGATGATGATGCTGATGATGACGATTCTTATGACGATGATGATGCTGCTGCTGATGATGATGATGATGATGATGATGACGATGATGGTGGAACAAGTTCTGAAGATGTCTCGAGCGAGGCGCGGATTTCAGCACTCCCAAGGGGGAGTTGCCAGTGGGTATCTCACTCCTCCGTTCGCGCCAGAATGGCGGGGATGTCTAGAGCGGTTTGCCCGTTTGCATGTCCAACATTCTCCGCTTTCGGAGCAGTTGCTGAGGATGTCTCGAGCGAGGCGCTCATTTTTACCCCCAGGCGGGGGCAGAATTTGAGGATGTCTCGATCGGTTTGCCTGTTTGGGTGGCCACCCCATGATGTCGCAGGAGGCTCCAGCAGGCTCCAGGAGGCCCCAGGAGGCAACAGGAGGTCTCAAAAGGAACCAGGAGGCCACAGGAAGATGCAAGAGGCCACATGATGCCCCTAGAGGCTCCAGGAGGCCCCAGGAAGCTCCAGAAGGCCTCAGGAGGCTCCCGGGTGCTCGAGGATGTCACAGGAAGCCACAGGAGGCCCCAGGAGGCCACAGGAAGCGCCAGGAGGCACCAGGAGGCCCTGGAAGGCACCAGGAGGCCTCAAAAGGCCTCAAGAGTAGGAGGCCTCAGAAGGCCACAGGAGTGGCTCCAATCCCATGTGTTGTACGTATGCTCCTATAGATTGGGCCTCCCCTGGAGCACGAGTCCTCAATGATTTACGTGATTATACAGATTGTCTTATTTCTGCGCATCCAATCCTGAGTGTTTTACGTATGTTCCTATATATATATACATACACATATACATTGGGCCTCCCCTGGAGCACGAGTCCTTGGTGGTTTACGTGTGTTCCTATATATTACACTTCTCGTGTGGCTCAAATCCGCAGTGTTTTATGTACGTCTGTTCCTATATATTGGGCCTCTCCTGGGGCACGAATCCTCCCCAGGATGCGCCAGGAGGCTCCAGGAGGCCCACAGGAGGTTTCAGGAGGCCTCAGAGGTCCGAGGCTCATGCGCAAAGACGCACTCGTACTACTGAGACTCATTCACACTCCAACTCATTCACAGTTAGATTCGCTCCCAGACCGTCAATACTCAAGCCCGCGAATATTCAAAGGAATCCTGCGCCTAGACACTCACGGCGGACAGGTCCACGCTGATAGATGCACAGATGGGAAGCTCCACGCAGCTCGCCACCGCTCGGACGTCCATTCCCTGTGTTTTTTTCGGTTTCGTGCGTTGTTTTTTCGCCAAATGGTCAAGGATGCTCCTCGACGGTCCTCGCCGAAGGAAAAATGCACACGTCCGAGCGATGCCAAGGCAGTGAGTCATTACTGCTTGCGTCGCTGACATAGCATCCAATATGACAAGACAGTCCGAAAGCGGCTCCGAGTGACCTCGGGGCCTCCGGAGGATACGACCGAGGGGCCAAACGCACTCAAACACCTGAAGTGGGAGGTCAATGATGTCTGCCCTCTCCCCTTCTTTCACTTGCAATGAGCCTCTGAAACCTCAAGGTTGCTCCAATGTCGCCCAATACGGAACCCCAAAGGGTCCAATGCGGCCCCAAGAAAGCCTCACGAACATCACACGAAGGCTCCAACAGGCTACTGTCGGCCCCAGGTTGGGAGAAGGGGGTACTTGAAGACCCCCTTTGCTCAGAGCAAGAACTGCTGAAACACCTTATTAATTATGTAAAGTTGATGGATGTGTAGCGCATCTCGGGCGCATATTTGGACAGTCGTTTGGCCAATATAGCTACAAGAGGTCCAGCCTGGTTTAAGACAGCTCCCCCGCATGCCTCAAAAGGCGTTCAAGAGACTGGTCGAACAGACATCGAAACTCCACAATAACGCCCCGTGGGGCCCTCTGGAGCCCTCAAGATGGCCACCGGGCGGCCACAGACGAGGCGGCCCCAGGACGGCCCAGAGTGGCTTCAAGACTGCATGGGGGCGGCAGGCGGCCCAAGATGGCCCCAAGACGGCGGACAGCATCAAGACGGTCCACGAGCCCCCCCCAATCTTGCCACATCATCATCATCAATTTGCCACTCAGTTTGCCTCAACCTTCTTCCCTGATGTATCCTCGCATCCTCTGGCTCCTCTGCTCCATCCCCCATCCGCTCCCCCATGTGCTGTGGGCCTGCTCCCCGCTCTGATTCCAATCTCCTCCCTCCCACTAATTCTCGTCATATCATGTAACTTATAACATGTCCCTCCCGCTCTCCTGCCATAACTCCCGTTCTGCTCCTGCAGCTGCGTCGCCACCGCCGTCGCCGTTGTCAACGTCGTCGTCGTCGCCTCCATCGCCGCCGCTGTCGCTGTCGTCGTCGTCGCCGCCACCGCCACCGCTGTCGCTGTCGTCGTCGCCAACGTCGTCAATGTTCAAGGCCACCGCGGCTGTCGCCGTCATCGCTGCCGCCGCCGCCGTCCCAGCAGCGCGTCGGGCCGTCCGGCCAGGGAAGCTCCGGCCCCCAACGCACCTCCGCCTGCCCCCAGCGGCGCTGGCGTGAGGTCCTCGGGCATCGGTGGGGGGGGGAGCGCGGAGGACTGGGGAGAAGGGACGCAGACATCCGGCGGCTCGAACATTGTGCAAATCCGTGCAAAAACCATCGCGCGCGCTCCTTCTCTAGCTGCCCTGGGAGTCCAGCGCTAAAAGGGGAGAGGTGCTGTGGCCGAACGCAAAGGCGCTGTGGGTTGGGAAGCCAACACGTTCGTCGCAGAACGCGCGAATGGGTGCTCGGGCTGGTACGGGAGACCTGCGCGTAGAAGTATTAACTGCCCCCCGCCGCTGTCCTCCCGCCCACAAGAGAGCCTACAGACCGCCCCCGAGGGCCGTCTAGGGGGAAAAGAAGCGACCCCTCACGCAGCAGTCGGCCCAAAAGCTCTGCGAGACACGGAGGCTCTGAGAGACTTTATTATGGGATCTCCTGGACGGCCTCGCGGGAGCCTGTGATGGAAGCATGCTTGGGGTTCCGTGGGCCTCTTAGGAAGCCGCTTGGAGGCTCCGTGGGGGCCTCTCGAGGGCTTCTTGAAGGCCCGGGGGCGCTGTCGGGCTCTTAGGGGTCTCTCTGGGGGGCTCTCTTGGGGCGATTCGGGCCCTCTTTGGGGGCCTCTTGTCCCTGTGGGGGCCCCCCTTTGGGCGCTCGTGGGCGGTCTCGAGAGCATCTGGCGCACATCTCGGGGCCTTCTCGGAGGCCTCTTGGGCCACCTTGGGCCATCTTGGGGTGGTCTTGGGGGCCATCTTGGGGCCGTCTGACTCTGCTTATACAATATACGCGAACATACAGCAAGGAAAAACATCTACGACTCTGTGTGTGTGAGTGGGGCGGGGATCCTCACGGAGCCATCCTGTGGGGTCACTCAGGGGCATCTGAGGAAGTGTTGAAGCCACCTGGAGCTGCCTGGAACCCATCTGAGACCGTCCGGAGGCCTCTTCGTCGCTAGGCTTGGACTCCGCTGGAATTTGTCTGGCGCCTCGGGGAGGCCTCCTAGGGGGACTCAGATGCACACCAATCGACAGGAAATGCTGAGGAGCGCCAGTCCAAAGTATCTAGACGCCTGAGATCGCTCTGCTACCAGAGCTGCGACCAAAAGACTACTTGCACTCCTCAATTTCTGGAGAGGCGTTGTTGGTTCTCTCTGCTTCATTCGAGCTGAAGGACTGAGGTACTACCCCTGGAGGTCTGCGGTCCTGGGGCCCCCCAGTCGGCGGTGGACAAACCTCCATTAAAAAAAAACCTCCCCTTGGTGAAAGCGGCCTGGGACCGACACCGACGCACCCGGACCCGCAAAGGTGACGACCGCGACGCCCTCCCGCGAACCGAAGACGGCCAATTCCTGAATCGACGTGACCAGGGTAGGAGGTCTATCAACCTCCGAATTTAGGTCGAGCCCTGAGACCGGCCAGGCCCAGCCAGGACCTCAGACCTCCCCACCGGGTCAGAGCCACAACCCAGAGAGCGTGCGCACCAGAAAAATCCAGGCGAAGTTTTTCGCCCTTCTCGGCCTCTGGAGGCACTCCTTCTCGGCCTCTGGAAGCCTCTGGAGGCCCCCGACCCGGGCCAGGTTTCGGGGCGTCCGGGAGGCGGGCGGAAACACCGCACGAGCAGGCCGGGCACCGTCGAGGTCGGAGGCCGGAAGCCTCAGATATGCGAGGGGCGCAGAGCCTCGGGTGGCTTAGGGAGCCCCAAGTCGGGCCCGCCGGGCGATGCCAAGTCCCCCCCGTTCGTTTCCTGCTCTTCCTCCTCCCCCTGCCTGTTCCGCCCATGGCTGCTCCTTGACGTCGTCGCTCACGCCTGCGGGGGCACCAGGGGCAGGCCACAGGGAGGGGAGGGAGGCGTGGGAGGGGGGCGGAAAGGGGGGGGGGGGAGGGAGGGTGCAGGGAGGGAGGGCGCGAGGGATGGGACAACAGAGAGGGAGCCGGAGAGGGAGGGATGAGTGGGAGAGGACCTGGAGCGAGCGGCGAGGGGAGAGAGAGGCCGGGGAGGAGAGGGATGCATGTGGAGACCAGTGGCAAGGGGTGGAAGCGAAAAGGCGGGACGACCCGGGAGAGGAAGAGGCGAGGGAGCGAGGAAGAGGCACAGAAAGAGAGAGTCCTCCTCCTCCTCCTCCTCCTCCTCCTCCTCCTCCTCCTCCTCCTCCTCCTCCTCCTCCTCCCCCTCCTCTTCCTCCCCCTCCTCCTCGCTCCTCGCTCCTCGCTCCTCCTCCTCCTCCTCCTCCTCCTCCTCCTCCTCTTCCTCCTCCTCATCCTCCTCATCCTTCTCCTCCTCCTCCTCCTCCTCCTCCTCCTCGGGAGCCTCCCCATCTTCTTCTCCTCATCCAGGAAGAAAACAGGGTGAAGGAGAATCGCAGAGACAAGGCAGACAGCATGCAATCCTACATCGCTTGCGACGCCAGTGCATTTATGGCGCACACACGGCGCAATCTCGCACCGAATCAGCAGAAACGCGGCGAATCGGTCTGGACGTGCGCCGTGCCAGGTGCGCGAACGATGGCCCCAGAAAAGGAAGAGCGCTTGTGAGTGCTACGCAAAGCGCTGGAGATAGTGACTGGCTTGCCTGCGAAAAACCGTGTCTTCCCAAACCTGAAGGCAGTTAGACTGGAGCTGGGGCGAATAGGGCCAGCGAGACCCCCCGCATCGGCGATATCGGAACGAAAAGATCGGGCTCCAGATCCCAACGCGTCGAAGATGCGAGCCGAGGATGCGGCGGGACCATCTTACAACATCTAAACAGCCTGGACAACTTCAACCCCAAACGAGGCTGTATATGCTACGCATCCAGGTTGGCAACAACCTCACCTCAATAAGAGGGAGGAGGCATGTTATATTGCAACTGAACGCTCTGGAACAGTAAACCAACTCGGTTCCCGAACGTTGGGGATAAACAATATGGAAGCCGTGGTGGAAGCTTCCGGCGTCTGGTCAAAACTGCACATGTTGCATGATCCCAATGTGGCTGCCGTGCGCACACACGGGGGGGAACAATTCGCGAAACGTGAAGGTCTGCACTCCCGTCACGACTGGTTACCCAATAAGGGGTACCATGAATAACGTTTGGGCCGAGAGGCTGGACGAAACAACCCCGAACGGTGCGCGGTGGCACCAGATCCCAAAGTGAGAAGACAAACGTCTCAACGCACGCACGCACAAGCACGGAGGGGACTGAGCGGATACGGCAAGCGAGAACACGAGGACACACACACACCACGAGGACAAAGAGGAGAGCAGAACAGGAAGGCAGAGGAAGGAGAGAAACGCCGCAAACTGAAGAGACGCCTCGGCTCATAAGTCCGACCTCTACCTCGGCTTTTGCCTTTGCCCTTGCCAGGCCTGCGCATTGTAGGGACTTCAAGGGGCGCCCAAGAGCCAACAAACAAATGATCCCGCCCCACTTGGAAACATCTTGCTTCGGCCCCTTGGAACCCAGAATACTTCCAAGGCTAGCCTGCTGGCTGCTGCTATTGCTACTTCTAGATCGCACTGGCCCCAGCGCTGGTGTTTGCTGTCTTCCACAATTCTCTGCGGCGGGCTCCCGGGTCCCGAATTTCCTCTCGGCCCCCCCACGAGGCGGCGGGCCTGCATTGACCTCTGGTCCGGGCTTCTGCAGGCATCTGGTGATTAAGAGGCTGGCTGGAGCTATTATCAAGTCGAGTGGGGTCTCCGAATGCCTGATTTGACCCCTCCCTCTTCTGCTGAAACGTCGACGTCGCCCGCCTGAAATCGATGGGCTCTGTTGCGGTCCCCGTGTTCCCTGCGCGGACCCCTTCCGCGAGCGTCATCAATCCCGAAACCTCCGCCTCGACGGCAAGCGCGCGGCGCACCTCTGGCTGCTGGAGAAGAGTGGCCACCGCGAGGAAGGGCGGTCCCAGCTGCGCTCGAGGGTCCGCTCCGAGCAAAGTCGCCTAGTGCTATGCCGCGCCCGCAACGCGGGCGTCGAGGCTGCGCTCCCGGGGTGCCAAACGAGCGCTGGTCAAGCATCCGCCGAGTGCTCGAGAGCGCTGGTCGACTATGAACAAACCCTTGAGGGTGCGCCTTCCGCGGGCACGGCTGCTGCTGCATCCGCCCCGGCCGCCGCCGCTCCCGTAGGTCGACGGCGTCTGCCTCCCTTGGCACGTCGTTCCTGCCGCTCCACTCCGTGGCCACCAGAGAAAGCGACGTGAGAGCTCGCCAATCACTTCCCGAGTTTCAGCAGCACCGTCTGCGCCGGCCCCCCTGGCAACCACGTCGCCATCAGATGACCCCTCGCAGGTGAAATGGGCGGGCGGAACCATGGTGATGCGGCTGCGAATGCGCATGTGCAGAGTCTTCAAGCTACCATGGCCACAACCGCGAGCAGGACAACTCAACGTATTTGGAGCAACGGTTGGCAATTCCTAAGGTGCTCAATCCGCCTGCACCTTATAACTCAAGAACAAGCATCCGAACATGCTGCCGGGCGATGCGCCTGTCGAACAGCAGTGATATTCACAGAAGGCGTAGGCTTGGGACTAAGAACAATGCTAAGTACCCTATGTCCGTGTGTCCCACCCTGAAAGGGCCTCATATGTTCCTGAGAGCTTTGTGGGCCCCAGAAACAGCAGGGCCGTTTTTTCACCGTTTCCCAAAAAATGTCCCTTGAAAATGGAAACGGCAAAAAAACGGCGACCAGAAACGGCCAAAAAACGGCTCCAGGATCGGAACCGGAGCCGGAACCGGTCAAAAAAAGACGACGGAACCGGTAAAACAACGGCGTCGGAACCGGCAAAACAACGGCAAAACGGAACCGGTAAAAAACGGCCCTGTCGTTTCCAGAGCCCACTAAGTGTCCCACCCTGAAAGGGCCTCAGATGGTGCAATGCTTTGCTGTGGCGCGCGCCGTCAGTGTCTAGCTCCTCGCATGCCCGGGCGGGAGCTGGCGAGGCCTCGCGGGGTCCCGAGCGTGTTCCTTGATCTCACCTCCACGCTCAGATCCTTCTCCACCCCCTTGTTGAGAGCCCCCCCAACTTCAACCGAGAACGTGCGCCATCCCAGGATCCAGCCCCGAATTCGCTTTCTCATAAGCGTGTCCCAGAGAGCCTGCGCGAGCCCCAAGAGGCCGCCTCAATGGCCCCACAAAAGGCAACACTTGACGCGTCGCTTCCGGGAACTGATCATTTTCACCGACTCGCCTCCTGCGTCGAAGACAGGCCGAGAGGCAGTTTCGGTCCCTCGATGACGGCCCTGGCGGCCCACCAAAAAGAACCGAGACGCCCCCAAGTGGCTTTCAAGAAGCCCCACGACCCTCAAAAAACCAACAACAAACCCCGGAAAACGGCCTGCCGACGGTCAGACATCAGCTTCGGCTAAGAATGCACCTCACGGGCAAGGCCCGCAAACCTGAAGGCCGACTTTGCGACGAACCCAATGAGGCGCAACTACCATACCAACAAACGCATCAAGGCGCAGAAATGCGCGGCCGCTGGCCCGAGATCCGTCAAACCCTTGGGATCTCCTGGCGGCCGCTTGGCCACCAAGACCAATCCCTGCAAGACCTGTGACCCGAAACAAATCAAGGTGTCGACGGATGTGTTGCAAGCCTGTATAATCATAAACATATGCAAGAAAGCCTTCCCAGTGTAAGGTTTGTACGACACGATTTCGACTTCAGCCTTACGAGCGCTTCTCCTCGAAGATGCTCAGGGGTGTATCAGCATGCCGATGGAGAAGTGCGGGCCACTGCTCAACGCGTGCCATGGCAAGTATGCCATGTTGCGCCTGGAGGGCCTTCGGATTCCCCTGATACACGCTGTTTCCATAACGCACCTTCTTCCCTTCGCGAGCAATGTCGCTCTCTTATCCAGGCGATCTGCCAAACATCGCTGCCAACATACAGTCTGCTCTCGATGCGCTGCCACAGGCTGAAGCCGTCGAAATCGTCAAATTCGAAATTCGAATCGATCGGGAACGAGCCTCATAATACGTATTAATTGGCTCGTGTGTGTGTGTGTGCGTGTGAGTTCAATGTTTGGTGGACCCATCAGCTTGGGGTGCGTGGATGACGGTTCTGCCCTTGTTCGGATCCAACAAACACGCGAGTTACTTACAGAGAGTACACACAGATAGTACAAACGCTTCGACCCCACTGGGCACACTTACCCGAACCCAGCATTGAAACAACATCTTCTTGAGCTGTGCGAGCGAACCAGAACTTTCACATACTCCACCACGTTCGCGTCATCGTGATAAAACGAGCAGGTCGCTCGTGTATACTGTCCCCGGTGCAGAATCTGGTTTCCAAGATGCCAAAAAGAGAGCTCAAGTGCACCAAACAAAGAATTCAGCTCAAACAAGGTACTCATGTTGTTGATGGCCCCGTGCCCTACAATGCGTGGACAACCTGTTGCTTGCCATGATTCTGTGCACCACCAACCTTCCACAACGGAATGCCAAGCTGAGGGCTCGGCTCGTTCCATTTAACTGGTAGCTTGGCACTCGTAGCGCCCAACACCTAACGTCGTCCATGAACAGCGCCGTCGAAAGGTCCACATGCTCTGCTTGGAGAGGACGCCTGCGCTGCATTGTCGCTCCCTCTGGCGTAGGGCTCCTAATGTTTAACCACGACTCCAGCATATTATGAGGAAAGACGCGATCGTACTTGTCAGGCGCTCCCTGATGTCCCTGCAAGACGAGCTCACCGATGAGAAACGTGCGAGTTCCATGCGCTGCATCATCTCATGACTCATGCATTGGGTCTGAGTGCCTTGCAAAACATCATCTGGCTGAGAGTGCTGGAAGCCAATCTCATCCGTATAATGCTGCGTAAGGTTACCGGATGCGTGTGCCTGATCCTGGATAAAGACTGTGGCGTGATAAACTCCAAATGGCGATAACCTCCAGCTTGTGATCAGCTGCGTCCTGATGGCCGTCTCTCTCATCGCCGATACGCAATGCCTCCATGCAAACAAGCCCCAAAACAGACCAGGATAAACTGTGGCACCACGTCAGTCCAAATGTCCAATCACTGTTGTACTGACGAACATAGCTTGTGAATCAGCCGTGCTGCCTTGAAACCCGTGCCGTGTGCGTAGTCGGCTTCGGAACGCATGCCCCCACGATCTGTGCCACGCCACGGGGACACCGTCGTCATGCCATGAATGTTCCACAGTCTGCCTCGAAACACACGTGGACAACAAAAATACATTGCGGGCATGTGTGCTTCGAACTCCGCCTGCTCCATCTTGTGTGTTGGGCCCCTTTCCGTTGGGTTGACGAGTGAGGGGCATGCGACATCGTTCAGCCGACAACGACCATTGTGGGAAAACATGATTGCGATAAGCAAGCCGTCGTATGGTTGATGTGATGCCTCTCAAATCCTCACCCGAAGGTCCTTCTACGCTTGATTCCAGAATCTCTGCCCACCGTGCTGGTCGAACTTCCTGGATTGTAGTGCCATGGGGAGGAGGACGAGCAAGAGGAGGAGGGGAGGGGGGAGGAAAGAGAGAGAGGATCCCCTAAAGGCCCGCCCTGCGACTACAGTGTAAGTTTCCTCCTCCTCCTCCTCTTTCTCCTCCTTCTCCTCCTCCTCCCTTGTGACCCCGAGTTACATCGCGGGAGTACTACGCCTCCCGTGCCCTCCTGCTACGCTTTGTCTATAGACCCCGTGTTGCCCTTCGGCCTTCGGCGTCTTCGGCGGTTCGGCGAAATCTGCATGGCTACGTTTAGCAGAAGGCCCGTGATTGAACACCTATATAACCGATGTAACAACTCTCCAGGCCCAACCAGCCGTAAAGGGGGGGGGGCTGTGATCCATCCCGGACAATACAAATCATTAAATCCTATCGTTTCTGCCTCATGGGGCGGTCTCCCGAACAAACGACAGTCTCCGAAACGGGGGCGAGACTTCTGGGACACGCGGAGGGTGAAAACTGAGGCAAACGGACGTCTGGGTTGCTTCCCTCATCGGGAAGTCCATGGTATCCACGATCCCTCGAGATATGGAATCAAAACTGTGGGCCCCCCAAAGTCAGGCAAAGGGGTCCCGTCTAATGGGTTCCGCCAAAACAGATGTACCAGTTTGTTGCGCGCAACTCTTGCACTGGCGGGCCCGAAAATTGCATTGGCCAGATCCTGTTGCACATGGTCATGCACGACTGTTGCATCGTGGCACGCCCTCCATTTCGAACTAACGAACTATTGCACTTCGACTAGTGCACGCCATCCATGCAAACAGGAACTATTACATTTCAACTAGTGCACCGGACATTGTATGATGTATGTGTACGGTGCGAAATATTGCATGTAGCATCTACTACTGCGCGCATGCTTGTGGTCCCCTTTCCAAAGGACCGCATAGCCCGACTCTGAGGAACTACCACAAATTCCAAATTGTGCTGGCACGTGGGAAACGAGCCCTGGACCCCAGAACTTCCCTTGAGACCAACTTTCCACTTTGAACCGTGTTTTGACGGCCCCGCCATTCCGTCGCCTGGGTTGCCACTCCGACCGCGCTGAGCGTCCACTTGCGCTGCGACACAACAAGTTTTGACGGCCCTGGGGCCCATGCAGTAAGGGCCGCCGTGACGATATGCCCACAGTGTCGGAGACACCTCAGGACCCGAACGAAGTGCCCACCACCACACCCCTTGGAAACCGCGGGGTGGTGGGGAGGGTTCGCATGTGGCCTCCTACAAGATCGGGTCGGGCGATAGAGGGGGATAGCAAAGGAGGGGCTTGAGAATCAGCTCACGTCGCTGATCTTTCCTGGCGCTGGAGGCGCCCATGTATCGAGGAATGGGCCCGGCGGCGGGGCCGAAACCAGCTGCATGCAGCAGATGTCGTAATCCCCCCTTTCCCCCCTGACCTTCCAGAGAGCTATTTTGTTAGCACTGGAGGCCTAAAACTTAAAACACTGAGCGAAACAGCCTAAATCCAAGACGTAGAATAGCTTTGGGATAGGTTTTTAAGTCGCGTGCTATTTTTTGGCCCTCTTGGAAGGTCAAGGCCAACCCTCCCCTCTCGTCCAGCCCGACAAAACCGCTCTGCCCCAGAGCGACTCCCCGCTCCTCGGGGGCGAGGAGCGGCCCCCGGACCTCCTTCGGGGGCGCCGGGCGCTCGAGGCAGACCCCGCCGCGGCCACGACGAGACCCTGGGAGGCCCAGGACTAGGGGAACGAGAAATGGCATAAACAGCAGAAACTGGGGGAGCCGCGCGGACCCCTGTCCCGGGGTCCGCGCGGATTTCTCGGATCCGCGCTGGATCCCCCTGGCGGCGCCTCCTGCGCCGCCCCTGACGCGCTCCGCGCGCCAGGGAGGGGGGTCCAGCGCCGATCCGAGAAATCCGCGCGGACCTCCGAGTTTTGATGTCTATGTCATTCTTCGTTCCCTTGGAGGGACGGGGGAGCAGCGTCCGGGGGCCTCGCCCCTGGAGCGTCGAGCCTCCACCCGCGAGGCTCCCCGCTGCGACTGTGGCCGGCCCGCCAAGCGCCCGCCGCCAGGGGGGGGGGGGGTCCTCCTCCTCCTCCCTCCTCCTCCTCCTCCTCCTCCTCCTCCTCCCCTCCTCCTTCCCCTCCTCTCCTCCTCCCTCCTCCTCCTCCTCCTCCTCCTCCTCCTCTCCTCCCCCCCCCCCCCCCCCCTCCTCCTCCTCCTCCTCCCCCTCCTCTCCTCCTCCTCCTCCTCCTCCTCCTCCTCCCTCCTCCTCCTCCTCCTCCTCCTCCTTCCTCCTCCTCCTCCTCCTCCTCCTCCTCCTCCTCCTCCTCCTCCTCCTCTTTTCCTCCTCATTTTCCTCCTCCTTTTCCTCCTCCTTTTTTCCTCCTTTTCCTCCTCCTCCTCCTCCTCCTCCCCCCCCTCCTCCTCCTCCTCCTCCTCCCGGGGGGGGGGGGGCGGCACCGCAGTGCTTGCCGAGAACCTTCACCGCCTTCATCTGCAGGTACCTGTGGCGGTCGGCGGCCGCCGAGAGCTGGCAGCGCGGCGGGCGGGGACAGGTCGGGGGGGACGGCACGGCCTCCCTGCGGCGCGGTACAAGTCTTGGCGGAGAGCTTCTTTCGGCGGTGGACAAACCTCCCTTTAGTAAACCTCCCCTTAGTGAAAACGGCCTGGGACCGAAACCGACGGACCTGGACCCGCAAAATAACGGCCGCGACGCCCTGTCGCGAACCGAAAACGGCCTATTCACTAATCGACGTGTCAGGGTAGGAGGTCTATCCACCCCCGATTCTTGGCCGCCTGGAGGCCTCCCAGCTGGGGTCCGAGAAGATGGGGTCGGAGGATCGCGTCGCATCGGCGATGCATCGACAACGTCGGCGATGCATCGGCGACGTCGGCGTCGAGAAGATCGGGCTCCATATCGAGCCGCATCGCCGATGCATCGGCGATGCGGCGCGATCCTCTGACGACAGCTGCGCTGACCACATTTGCGAGGCCAATGGGGTCTTCGGCCTTGGGGGCGGATGATAAGATGAAGCTAGGACGACGACAAGATCGGGTGAGGGCAGATCGAGACTCTCCGAGATCCAGCGGCTCTGGAGGATGTCTCGGGCGCCGCGGCCTTCTCGGAGCGTCCGCCCTGAGAGCGTTCCGGAACGCTCTGGAACAGATTGATCCGTTTGTCGGGCGTGTCCCCCTGCAGGAGGATTTTCGACGAACAACTAAAAATACCCCAGATATGCCCCCAAAAAGTCAAACAATACTAACAAAAATAGTCCCCAGCCTATTATTTGACTATTTTTGTGGTATTTTTTATTTTTCGTCGGAAATCCGCCTCTGGCCATCGCTCGGACGTCCATTTCCTGTTTTTTGTTCGGCTTCGTGCGTGTTTCTTTCGCCAATGATCAAGGATGCTCCTCGATGGTCCTCGCCGAAGGAAAAAATGCACACGTCCGAGCGATGCCAAGGGAACAGATTTATGCTTGCCCAGCCCCGTCCGAGCGGGGCATCTGCCCAGCCCCGCGGCCGTGCGTGGGGTGCGCAGGCCTCCGGCGGCAGGCTCGAGCCCCCGGGAGCCCCGCCCGCGGAGGAAGAAGGAGCGCGCGGGAGGGGGGACCTTAGATGGGCCCTGGAAACGACAGGGCCGTTTTTGTTACCGGTTCCGTTTTGCCGTTCTTTGGCAGGTTCCAACGCCGTCTTTTTACCGGTTCCGTCGCCGTTTTTTGACCGGTTCCGGCTCCAGTTCCAGTCCTGGAGCCGTTTTGTTTGCCGTTTCCGGTCGCCTTTTTTTGCCGTTCCCATTTTCAAAGGACATTCTTTTTTGAAACGATGAAAAAAACGGTCATGCCGTTTCCGGGGCCCACAAAGGGGGAGACCGGCTCCAGGGGAGCAGCACCGACCTGAAATAGGTTTAGGTCGGGCCTGTCCCCCTACACGGGGATTTTCGACGAAAAATAGATTAACCCGGCAAAGCAACCTAACAGCGATGCGTGTAAGCATATTTGGAAGCATTCCCCTCAAGATTCACCTTGTCTCAGCTTCGGCCTGCCTCGGCCTCATCCTCAGCCTCAGCCTCAGTCTCAGCCTGAGCCTCTCTCGGCCTGAGCCTGAGCCTGAGCCTGAGCCTCTCTCGGCCTCAGCCTCAGCCTGCCTCAGCCTCAGCCTGCCTCAACCTCAGCCTCAGCCTGTCTCAGCCTCAGCCTGCCTCAGCATCAGCCTCAGCCTCAGCCTCAGCCTGCCTCAGCCTCAGTCTCAGCCTGCCTCAGCATCAGCCTGCCTCAGCCTCAGCCTCAGCCTGCCTCGGCCTCAGCCTGCGTCAGCCTCAGCCTCAGCCTGCCTCAGCTTCAGCTGCCTCAGCCTCAGACTCAGCCAGCCTCAGCCTCAGCCTCAGCCTGCTTCAGCCTCAACCTCAGCCGTCGGCCTCGGCCTCAGCCTCAGCCTGCCTCAGCCTCAGCCTGCATCAGCCTCAGCCTCAGCCTCAGCCTGCCTCAGCCTCAGCCTGCATCAGCATCAGCCTGCCTCAGCCTCAGCCTCAGCCTGCCTCAGCCTCAGCCTCAGCCTGCTTCAGCCTCCTGGCCTTCCTCAGCTCCAGCCTCAGGCCTGCCTCGGCGTGCCTAGCTCAGCTTCAGCCTGCCTCGGCCTCAGCATTGCTTCGGACCCCGCTCAGCCTAATCTCTCCTCCAGTCCGCCCAACCACCCAAACCCCCCTTCCCATCACCAGTTCAACAGACCTCATCACTGCCCTCAGCCCCCCAGCCAAGCCTCAAGTCTGCCTGCCTCAGCTTCAGCTCAGCCTCAGCCTTGTCTCGGGCTTGTCTCAGCCTCAGCCTCAGCCTGCCTTCGGCCCTCTGCTTGCTACCCAGCTCAGCCTGCCCAGCCTGAGCGTCCAGCTCTCTGCCTCAAGCACTGCATCAGCCTCAGCCTCAGCCTGCTTCAGCCTCAGCCTCAGTCTGCCTGCAGCCTCGCCTCTCAGCCTCAGCCTGCATCAGCCTCAGCCTCAGCCTCAGCCTGCCTCAGCCTCAGTCTCAGCCTGCCTCAGCCTGCCTCGGCCTCAGCCTCAGCCTGCCTCGGCCTCAGCCTCAGCCTCAGCCTCAGCCTGCCTCAGCCTCAGCCTGCCTCAGCCTCAGCCTCAGCCTGCCTCGGCGTGCCTCAGCCTCAGCCTCAGCCTGCCTCGGCCTCAGCCTGCCTCGGCCTCAGCCTGCCTCAGCTCGGGCATTCAAAATATGGCACAGGACTTGTGTTCTGGGAACACAAAGATCACGAAGTGGCCCTTAGTTGGCTCCAGGCAATCAAAATATGGTACAGGAATTGTGTTTTGGGAACACGAAAAACACGAAGTGGCCTATAGTTGGCTCCGGGCATTCAAAATGTGGCCTGGGAATGGTGTTCTGGAACACGAAGAACACGAACTGGCCTGCAGTTGGCTCCGGGCATTCAAAATGTGGTTCTGGGATGACGAAAAACACGAAATGGCCTACAGTTGGCTCCGGGCCCGGGCATTCAAAATGTGGCCTGGGCATGGTGTTCTGGGAACGCGAAGAACACGAAGTGAGTTGGCTCCGGGCATTCCAAATGTGGCCAGGGAATGGCGTTCTGGGAATGGATTCCCTAGGATTTCTAAGAATTCCGAAGGATTCCTAAGGATTCCTGGGGCTGACCCTTTTGTCCGGTTTTGTCCGGATCCCGCCCAGACCCCCGTGGGGCGTCAAGATGCTTTCTTTTGAGCCCACTAGAAACCTGTCAGCAAAAGCTGTTAAGTAAAAATGAATCAGAAATAATCAAAACAAATATTTGTTAAAAATAATCCGAAAGCCCTTATAACGGCGACGAGGCGACGATCGAAAGCAGTGCCCCGGCACTGCTTTGAACGCGTTCAAAGCAGTGCCCCGGCACTGCTTTGAACGTATGATATGATGATATGATGATGATTATGATTGATGATGATGATGATTTTTCCAGCGTGCACTGTCCGCAACTGCGGCAATCAACATCATGCTCCACTTGCCCGCAACTGCGGCCATCACCAACGCTGCGCCTCGAAGCTCCACGGAGGGCGCTCGGCAGGTCGCCCGCTCGAGCCCCACTCGACTTCACGCTGAGGAGGCGAGCCCTCAGGGGCATTGTCCGCAACTGCGGCATGATCAGAGGGCCACCACTGCGCGCCATCAGCGCCCCATTCGCTCGAGCTCCAGTCCCACCAGGACCAGCCCTGCCATCTCGTGGCGGGACTGCGCGCCTCCCTGCGCCGCTGCCGCTCCCAGGACCCAGCCGCCACTGCGGCACAAGAAGGGGTCGCATCGTCGCCGTTGGCAGCTTGCGGCGGTGGCGTGTTCCCAGCTCGCTCAGCCCCAGCGTCTCTCCCCGCAACTGCGGTTCCCATCTGGGGTCGGACGCCCTTCCCCGCAACTGCGGTGTCCGCGTAGCTGCCCTTCTTGCCGCCCTTCTTGCCGCCCTTCCTGCCGCCCTTCCTGCGTTCCAACCTCGCGGCGAGTCTTTCAGGTGACCTGCGGCACGTATTGTGCGTGAAAGCCACCAGAGGGAAGTGCGCTCCGTGCCTCGCCCTGCCGAAGGCGCCATGCCATATCTTGTCGTCGAGGTTGCCCTGCTTCACTCTGAAGGGATGGCGCACCCAATCGTCGCGTTCCCTGCGCGCCATCCTTTGCTCGAACTCCGCAACTGCGGTCAAGGATTCGCCAGATGGCGTCAGGAAGGCGCGCATCTTGTTTTCAACGGGCTCAGCCTTGGGCACGTAAGTCTGAAGCATCTTCCCAGGGCCATTCGTGTAGTCGAAGACAGGGAAAGACGGATCATGCTGGGTCGTCAAGAATCCGCCCTCACGGTCGTGCAGAACACTCAGGCCATGGTGAAGCTTGTACTGCCCAGGACAGTTTATGAACAAAATCGCCATGCTGTCTGCCCTGGGCTGGCCGCCTGCTGTCTTCCAGGGGGTCCACGCGGCGACGTCCACAGTCAGGCCGCAATTGCGGCACCAGGACACAAGCTGGAACATGCACATGTTGAAGTCCCCCATGCAGACCTTCACGTCCCATTCCCTGACGTAGGCGACGAACCAGTTGTAGAACTCATGGAGCTTCGTGACGCCCCAGTCTTGGTTGGCCAAGCTGTGGTGGACGTGCACCGCCATGACGTTGAAGGAGCCCCCCAAATGGGGCACGGCCTGGTCCAGGTGGACGCGCACCACCATCGCCCTGGAGTACTTGTTGTGCAGCTTTGGCGCAGGAGCCTCCGCAACTGCGGACTGTTTCTTCTTCTTCTTCGTTTTGGACTTCTCCTGCTTGTGGAAGAGTCTCGCAAAGTCTACGTGTTCAATGTGGCCGCCACTGCGGTCCCTCATGCCAACAAGGAGGGTCCCTGATGGCTCGCCGCCCTTAACGCACAGGTAGTTGTATTGAGTCCGACTCCGAAACCTATCGTCCGCAACTGCGGCTGCACTGTCCCTCGCGTCGTGCTCCCCACTGAGTACCGCGCAGGTCTCGTCGTCGCACTC